ATTTTCCAAATGGTTTTCTCTGGCCCCACTAACAGATATTTTAACCACTTGTCATTGATGACATATCTGATCTGTGGACCAGCAAAAATGCCTTCCTTAATCTTGGCATCAGTTTTTCTTAACCATATTATACTTTTTATATGTGGCCCAAGACAATTCCTCTTCATTTAGTGTGGCCCAGGCAAGTGTGATGATAGATAGATAGATAGATAGATAGATAGATAGATAGATAGATAGATAGATAGACAGATAGCAGTGGTGGGATTCAAATTTTATTTTTTTTAACCACTGATTTTGTGGGCATGGCTTGGTGAGTGTGGCAGGGGAAGGATACTGTAAAATCTCCAGTCAGAGGTGGTATTTGCCGGTTCTCTGAACTACTCAAAATTTCTGCTACCGGTTCTTCAGAACTGGTCAGAACCTGCTGAATACCATCTCAGATAGATAGATAGATAGATAGATAGATAGATAGATAGATAGATAGATAGATAGATAGATAGATAGATAGATAGTTTGCAGTAAATATTTTTTCTTTGCACCCTAGGAGAAAAATATCTGCCACTACCTTGGATTGAACTCTCAACCTTCCAAGTTGGAGGTGAGCATCTTCATCACTAGGCCATCACACCACTCAGTAAAATGTTCAGCTCCATCCAGTTGCCTCACCTCTTCCCCAAATTAAGTCTCTTTGCATTGAGTCCTGCTGATTTCATAAGCATATTCAAGTTGTTTTCTTGACAATCATATAGAAGCAGTTTATCCCTGCTTTCCTTTGGAATGTTTCTTGATTTTCTAAGCTTGAGTGCAGCCCTTTTATTTCTTAGTGACCTCTTATGCACTTGCTAATCAAGTCTGACTTTTCTCAGGTGCTTTGTATCAACACAAGACTATTGGGCATGCCATCTAACTTGGCTTCCAGCATTGTAGATAGTGCGGGTGGAAGGAAAATGTACTGTGTTAAATATTGATAGTGATATTAACAGCAGGCATTCAAGAATGTGTTAGGTGATAAGATGAATATATTTCCATTAGAGAGCTAGTTAGCACATATTTAAGAGGTTGTAATGCATGAAGTTGGCATATATTTATAGTAACTACTGCAGTATTAATAGCAACTGAGCTATTTTCTTTTGTCAAGCAAAGAGGATTGTGTCTTTACTTTAAGCCTCATGTAATTATTTATGGCAATATTTATGCAACATGTTGAACCAGTTAAACTAAGCCAGGTAAGGTATTTTAGTATTTATTTGATTTGTCAATCGCTTACAAGATAAAGGTATAAGAATAAATATAGTTTTGAATACATGAGATAGATACTTATAAGAAAAATAAAAAAAACAATAGGACAGGGACGGGAGGCACGATTGGTGCACTTATGCACGCCCTCTACAGGCCTCTTAGGAAGGGGTTGAGATCAATAGTAGACAGTCTAAGATTAAAGTTTTTGGGGTTTGGGGAAGAAACCACAGAGTCAGATAGAGTATTCCAAACATTGACCACTCTGTTGCTGAAGTCGTATTTTCTGCAGTCAAGTTTGGTGCGATTAACCTTGAGTTTGTATCTATTGTGTGCTCTTGTATTGTTATGATTAAAGCTGAAGTATTCATTTGCAGGTAGGACATTGCAATGTATGATTTTATATACTATATTTAGATCGGACTGGAGGCGGTGTATTTCTAGGTTTTCTAGGTCTAGAGTTTCAAGTCTGGTGGCATAAGGTATTCTGCAATGAGTAGAGGAGTGGAGAACTCTTCTTGTGAAATATTTCTGAACATTTTCAATTGTGTTAATATCAGATACATGATATGGATTCCAGACTGATGAGCTGTATTCAAGTATAGGTCTAGCAAATGTTTTGTATGCTCTAGTTAGTAGTGTGATATTACCAGAGAAGAAGCTATGTAGGATTAGATTAACAACTCTTAATGCCTTTTGGGCTACGTAGTTACAGTGGGCTCTAGCATTTAGCTCATTTGAGATGAGTACTCTAAGGTCCTTGACAAAGTTTGGATCCTCAACAAGGTCTTGACTATTTAGCTTGTATTTTATTTTCTGTTTTTTTCTGCCGATATGTAAGACAGAGCATTTATTTGTTGAGATTTGAAGTTGCCATTTGATTGACCATTCTTATACACAGTCAAGGTCTTTTTGGAGGGTAGTAGTATTGTCTGTGATGTTGAATAGCTTTACATCATCAGCGAAGAGAACGCAGTTGCTCTTAATATGATCACAGAGGTCATTTATGTAGAGTATGAAGAGAGTTGGTCCTAAAACACTGCCTTGGGGGACACCACTGTTGACAGGTACAGAATTTGATAGGATGCTCCCAATTTTGATCATTTGTTTGACAGGAATGCTTCTATCCAGTTATGTAGGTGTCCAGAGATATCATAAGATTTTAGTTTTAATAGTAGTTTGTCGTGTACCACTGAATCAAAGGCTTTACAGAAGTCTATGGAGATTGCGTCTATTGCTTTGCCCTGATCAAGTTGTGTAGTCCATATGTTTTTGCAGTGTAAGAGTTGCAGATTGCAGGATAGTTTTTTTCTGAAACCAAATTGTTTATTAGAGAGTAGGTTGTTTGTCTCTAAGTGGAGGATAATGGATTGGTTAATAATTGATTCCATGACTTTACAGGTGATGCAGCATAAAGAGATTGGTCTGTAATTTTCAACTAGGCTGGTGTCTCCCTTTTTGAAGATGGGGATGACCGAGGCTTGTGACCATAGTTTTGGCAAGGAGCTGGTCCTGAAAGATTTTTCAAAGATTATGCTTAGAGGTTCAGCTATGGCAGTGGATAGCTTTTTTAAGCACATATTCCATCCGGTCCAACAGATAGGGATGGTTTTAGATTGTGCAGTGCTTTTTCAACAATGTCTTTTGTAAAATTGATATGTATTAGATCATTGTAGTTGTCTGGTTTGACTAGGAAGTACTGGGCTTGATCCATTGCTGTTTACAAATACTGAGCCAAAAAATGTGTTAAAGAGGTTTGCTTTGATGGTGTCATCGTTGCAGTCTTTGCCATTAGGTCCTTTCAGGGGTGGGATGGAACTTGAATCTTTTAGTTTGTTGTTTACAAAATTGTAGAAAGCACGTGTGGAATTTGTGCGTAGAAGGTTTTCCTCTTCTTTAATGTGATAATTAGTGCATTCAGTTTCAGTTGGTGGCATAGATTTTTGTATCAGCTTTTGAAGTTGGCAACGTGACCAGATTTGTTTTTTCACCAAAGTGATCTCTTTTTGGATTGAAGCTTCCTTATTGTTATGGGTAATCTGTTTTTCCTGGTTTTGGGAGTTGTTATTGGTACATATAGTTTGATGGCTCTTTTGATTTCTAGTAAGAATATGTTGTAATAGTCTTCAACAGTATTGCATCCAGTGAATAGAAATTGCCAATCAAGGGAAGAGAGATCGTTGATTATAAGATCATAGCTGCCTTTTTTGAAGTTATAATTGGGGATTTTGTCGAGATGATTTTTGTGTGGACGTATGTTGAGACAAAATTCAATCATGTTGTGGTCACTGTTGGAAAAGGGTTCTTTAATTTGTATTCCGTAAATTGAATTCAAACTATTGCAGAAGATGAGATCGAGGCAGTAGTTAAGCCTAGTATTGTTGGTTACTAGTTGTTTCAGTCCCAGATTTGTTACAGCATTGTAGAAGGTTGCATGTATGGGTTCAGTTGTACATTCGTTTAGGGTCCAGTTAATATGAGGTAGATTGTAGTCACCAAGAATGATAAAAGCATGTGGGCAGGATGCTGCCCATGTTAGTAGTGTATTTAGCATGTTTACATGTTCAATGTCATAATCAGGGGCTCTGTAACATAGTAAGAATCAAAATGTGATATGTAAGGTCAGTTCGCAGATAATGGTCTCAGGAAGAGCAAGCTCCTGGGTAACTTGGATGTTTTTTAGATGTAAGGACTTTTTATAGAAGATAGCAACACCACCTCCTCTACGGATTTCACGATTGGATTGGTAAACATGATAGTCTCTTACTGAGGTAATGGAGTCAGGAAGAGATGCGTTGAGCCATGTTTCACAGACAAATATGATGTCGAATTTAGCCGTATTTAGTAAGAGGAAAAATTCAGGTATTTTATTTACAAGGCTTCTTGCATTGAGTAGCTTGCATTTAAGGCCAGTTGTAGTTTGAATTGAGGTAGTTGGGGGCGTGCGTACCTAGTCTTGGGTGATGGTGGATTGGTTGAAGAAGGTTTAGATGCTGAGTTGTGGGTTGTGCGACTTTCTTTTGATACTGTCTGCATGGTAATCAAAGTACAGGTCCTTCTCTCCATTGCCTAGATGATTTTTGAGTTCTGTGCATAGTATACGGGAGCGGGCACATTGCTGTAAGGTTAGGTCAGGACGAGATCAGAGGTTTTTATGGTTGGTGTTGTTTTTGGCGAGTGAATTTATAGTATAAATGAATTTACATTTGCTTAATTCATTTTTGCAAATGACTCTGCAGAAGCATGGGGCCACAGAGCCATCTCTGTTTTTGAGCTCTCGGCCAATGCGAGAAATGTCAAGTATTTCATCAGGGGAGATGCTTGATAGCCACTAATGATGTTGCGGACAATTGTGATATCATCATTGTTATTGATGTCCTCTAGACCATTAAGATGGCGTTAGGATGTTTTCGTTCACGCTGGACAGCTTCTCTGACGAGGATTGGGATATCATTATTTGTTGGATTTATGGTGTTTTGTGGATTAGGTTGCAGTTGTTGGTTTGTAGCTAGGTATGTAGCCTAGGATGAATGGAGTTGAAAATAATAGAATTATTATTATATACCTTTCCAAATATTCTATTCTAGATGTCTCCAAGTTTTTTAATGCAATGTTCAATCCATGCACTAAGAAATTTAGCTGGCCTTCTTTCTCCAGGGACATACTGTAGACTCTAGATGCAGCTTCAACAATGCAATAATTTCACCATTCCCCAATTTCTAACTGTTCCTTCTTTCCTATTTTTTTTTTTTTTTTCATTTTAGGTTATGTTGAACAGCCTTGCACTGTACCTTGTCCATTTGACTGCAAATTAAGTGACTGGTCTGACTGGTCTCCTTGTAGTTCATCGTGTGGGACAGGAGTGAAAATTCGGTCCAGGTGGCTTAAGGAGAAACCATACAATGGAGGGCGCCCTTGTCCAAAACTAGACCCAAAGAATCAGGTGAGGTGTATCCTAAAGCCAATATACCAATTTGGAATTGATCTTCTATATCTAAATCATTCTGTGATTGATACAGTAGAATCCCTCTCGTAAGGGTTGTATAGTTTCCTTTAACTGTCTCTCTTATTGCAGATGCATGCTAGAATAAACTTTTGAAAGGTTTTCTTATTTACAAAGCTATTAAACACTCCATAAAAGATTATTCATTAATAATAGCATATCTTGCCTCCAAACCTAAAACAGCTAAGCCTGGTTAGTGAGATCAGACACTGCAAATAATATTTAAAACAACCTGTGAAACCTAGTTTTTTTCTTGAATTATTCTTTGAAGATATTTCCCCTACTAATTCAATTTCACTCATTCTAATAAGTTTCTGTCTGACAATTACATGCTAATTTTCAAATGTGTATTCTATTATAAAAGGATGCCAATATAAATGGGAATATTCAAATGGAAAATTAGGAGTAAAATATTTTTCAATTAATGTTGTAATTTAATGTAATAAAGGATCTTTGCAGTTAATACAGATAGGAGATTATTTCCATTCATACAATTTAAAATGTTTAATGCTTTTTAAAGACTATTGAAACCAAATCAGAAGTAGTCTTCTTTTTTATGATTGTTTTCTTTTAAAAAGATCAGTCTCGATTCATTTCACTCTTTTTATGATTTTAATACAAATATAGTTGTGTTTGGAAGAGCTTTTTAAGTTTATGGTACCCTAAATAGGGCTATGCAGAATCTTCCAAAGAGACCTGCATAGGAGTTCACACAAAGAATTTCTTTTCAAAGTTGGCTGAGGTAGTAGCCTTATTGTTTGTTAGTTATATGTCTGCTATTTGAAAAGAGGTTTTATTCATACCTGTTTGGAAGGTTTGCTCAACCTGAACCTTGAGTTCAAAAAGGAAAGATTCCTGTCCAGAAAGAAGAAAATAGTATAAGCCATTTTTTTCCCCTTCCTCTGATTGCAATTTTGACCTGGTCATTTTTAGCACAATCATATGTTAACACAGAGCAAGAAATATTTCAAGTGACTGCTTTAATTCCTAGATTTAGTTCATGTACTACTCACACATGTTTCTCTTCATCCTTCCATCACCCTGTTGTGTTGAATAGTAGCTGTGATGCTTAGCCTGAAATCTATAATTACGTACCTGGGCAAAGAGTTTGTTGATTGAAAAAAAATTGATCATAGATTTTAAAAGTATATATGCATATTGGCCCTCTTTCAAAGTAAATGTTCTACTCATGAATGGAAAGCATGAAAATATTAGAGTCATTCTATGTCCAGTCAGGATTTGTGCGTGAGATTGTTAGACCGACTTATTTTTGTGACAAATGACCAGACAAGACCACTCAGAGTTATTCTTTGTTGGTCTAAATCAGAGATGGACATTTCACCTTCAGCGCTCTTCACCATTAGCTGCGTTGATCAGCTCAAATCTTTAAATCTGAAACCCAAATGTCAGCCACTCTAGAATACATGATAATAGCAAACTGTAGATTGCCGGTTGCATAGCCAGCACATGTACGGTCCAAGATAGCCAACCCTAACCTGTGGACTTCTAAAATTGATTAACTTTACCTTTCTTAATTTCTAGCCAGTATGGCCATCACCCATGCTATCTGTGAATTCTGGAATTTGTAGCTGAACATAATTGGAAAGCATTAGGTTGAAGAAACTTGTCATTATTATTATTATTATTATTATTATTATTATTATTATTATTATTTAATCTTTTGTGAAATTCACAGCCTTTGGGGCTGGTTGGTAGCTAAACAGCTCGAGTCCTAACTAAGGACCTAGGAACTGTTCAGGTAGCATCGGAGGATATAAGCTGTTCCAAGTAGGGTGTTTTTTTGTAGAAATTATTATTATTATTATTATTATTATTATTATTATTATTATTATTATTATTATTATTATTATTATTATTATTAACCTGCTTTGAAAATGTGGGTTCAACTTAACCTTAACATTATTCACAATCTTTTTTAAAAGATTTTTATCCTACTTTTTTAAATATAAAACTCAAACCAGCACCTTTTTCCTACTCCTCTTTCTCCACAACAACAATCCTGTGAAGTGGGTTGGGTTGAGAGAGAGAGTGACTAGTGAAGGTCACTCAATTAGGTTTCATGCTTAAAGCAGGATTAAAACTCACATTGCCTAGTTTCTAGGCCAAACATCTTAACCACTACAACAAATTGGCTCTCGTTTCATTATTATAAGCTTCATTATAGATGATTGTAAGCTTTTTATTATTTCATTTGGGTTTAGTCAAATCTCTTTGTTGTTTTTATTGACTTCCTCACATCTAATTCATAAGTAATAATACAGTAGAACCAAACTCCAAAGAAGTATGATGGAGAATACTCAAAAAGATAAATAATGCCCACTTCTCAAAGTTTTCCTTCATGAAACTGAAGGATCACAAAACAAGTAAAATGAAATCTCACCATAATTAATATGGAGATGGTAATGTCTTGAAAAAATAGTGAACTATACTTCTGCAGCCAGAGTATCATGTTTACATGAACATTAAAACTCATTGCTCTTGCCAGCTTCTAATAATACATTTGTTTCAGCAGGTTTTTGAATAAAACTTGAATAAAAATTGCGCTTGATTACTAATAGCTAGTAATTTTTGTGTGCTTATTTCTTTGTAAGACCTACAGTATAGGGGCAACCATCTCAGCATAGTGGCATGCACTTCTTAATAAAAATAGTATATTATGTACCCTGATTCTTACTTTTTTCCCCCGAAAAAGCATAATCCTAAATTTATTTAGCTGTATCAGTGCAGGAAACATGTTGGCATGATTTTTTCACATATATTTTTTTAAATTGCAAAGAGTTATAATTTATTTTATGATTCATGCTTTGTATGAGATTTTCTTCATAGTAAGAAAGGCCAATGTTGTTAGTTGCTGAACTCCTTACATCTGTTACTGTTTTAAATTTTAGCATTTGATATGGAAGTTGACTAGGAACTCACTGTGAACCTCAGGGTGAGAAAGGAAAGCAGTTCCAATTTGTTTCTAGTGAATTTGTTACTCCTGTTGTTTTTCTCAGTGACATTTCCTTGTATTACTTAGAAAAATGACAAATTACATCCTAATATGAAATGTCCAGTTTTTTTGTCAACAATAATTCATTTGTGTGTATGTGTGTGTATTTTGACACTCTTGAATGCAGTACATTAGTAAACCCCACACCTTGTGTTTTAAAACAGTGCTTTTAGAAGTTTTCCTCATACCCCATTTTCATTTGATGAAACATCCTGATATAAAGGTTAAAAGGCTGTGCCTGCGAATGAGGAAAAAGCCATCCGTAACAACTGAACTTAAATATCACTTCAGTTATAACATAACGTACAGATATCACCGGCTAAATAAGGCTATTAAATTTGCCAATTTGAGCCAAATCATCGGAAATGGCTTTGTAGTGGTCTATTTACCAGAGAGATATTTCTTCTAAGTAGATTGTACCAAAAGCTTTTGTTGGCAGCTTTTTATGGATTGTCTTGTTCAACGTTTAATTTATTTGTTATCCGTTTTATGGAATCGTGGCATTGGAAGATATCTCAGAGATCATCTAATCTAACCCCTTTGGTCACCGCTAAAACAATTTCAGACAGATTGTCAGGCCTGTCCCAGCTTGGATGTTCAAGAAAGACCCTCGATTCACTTTTACTGAGGCCAAGAGGTTACAATGTAGCAAAGATCTGAATATTCCTGCATAAACCCAGCGCTTTTCTCTTCCCACGTGCCCTCCTCGCTTGGTCCTTTTATAAATGTCCAAGTGTTCAGACTAGGTGTTTTGGTGAACAGTCCTAAAATTTTGTGCCTCTTCGGTGGGCATTCGGATACCATTCTCACACCTTGGATCTGCCAGGCTCTGATCCAGGCTGGCACCTCTGGTTCCTCTCATCCTGTCATCCTCCCCTCCCTATATCCCCTTATTCGTCCTTCCCCCCCTTTTATGACAGGGCGAAGCAGGGCTGAAACAATGCGATGGCAGGCCTGACACAGATAGCAATGCAGTCTTTGCTTAAAGCCCTCCATTGAAGGGAAACCTGTCACTTCATGACTCAATCTAGTGCTTGACAGCTCTTACCATGAAGAAGTTCCCTCTAATATCTAGACTTAATCTACTTTCCTGTAACTTTAACCCACTGTTTGAGGCATCATAAATCAGCCTGACAACAGTGAACACTGAAGCCAAAATTATTCTAGTATCTTTGTCTAGGGTAGAAAAGAGCAGAGCGAATAGATGCCTTGCCTGTCCTTTGGCAGAAAGTTTAATTCTTCCCTTCCCTTTTCCTTTTCCTTTTTTTAGAAACACACTCAGTGACTTTTAAATTATACACACACCTTTCTATACATGCTGGCATGTGTAGGTGTTGCAGCGTGGCATCTGTTAGTTTTTTTTCCTCAGCCTGATTTAACAGTGTGTAGGATTACCATCAGTGAATTTAATATGCAAAAATATAAGGAAAACGCTGAATTGAAGACACAAGCTTCAAAAAGATTGGTTGAGTCACTTGCAGTGCTTAATTTTGTGGGTACTTTTTTTGTCTATAATAGAGATGTATCTGAGACTAGCAAATAACACAGGTTGCATGATTTTTTTAATGCCTTCTATTCTCTTCCATAAATATCAGCACAACCGACTTTCTCAAACCATATTCTCTTAGCCCATCAAGGCTGAACTCCATTCCTTACGTAGCTGAAATGCCATGGGGGAGGTCAAGAGCAAAAATTCAGAACCCAGTGGTTTTCATTATTCCTTTTCTCTCCAGCCATGTGAGATTAAATGCTATACTTGTATGAAACATCTCAGTAAAGTTCAGAGTTCTGTGACTGAAAGCAAAGTTTCAGTAGTCAATAACTTGCAGACTTTAATGAAGCAGCTGTGCTCTGCACAATGGAAGGCACAAAATTCTCAAGTTGCTTCCTGTTTTCATGAACCATCATCAGCTTCCAGTTCAAGTAG